GGAAGAGGACTGGCTGTGATTTTGTTCTCATGTTTGTTTTGACTGCAGTCTGGAAATACCAGGTTTACCAGTTACCACAGTGTAATATGGTAGGATATTCAGGTTCTCTCCTGCTGCTGCTCTGATAGTCTCAATAGATTAAGTAGGACAGGATGATTTAACCTCAATGATCTGAAGAAACATGTCCTAGCCTTGGGTCGAATTTGCCACCAGTAGCAGCAGATCCTAATTCTGTGTTGTGCATGTGTCGGAAGAGCCATATTGCCAGGTCCCTTTTCCCTCTTGTGCCAGTGGCAACACGTCTGGAGCCCTTCTAGGTATTGGAGGCTCTGAGGTGAGGGAGTGGCAGGGCAGTGCTCGTTGGCGACGCTGGCCCCGCTGCCCGTGTCCTCCACCCGAAGCCGGTCGGGCAGCATCAGCCGCAGATGGGYGCCGTGAGTGTTCAGCAGGCAGCCATACGTGCACATGTGTGTACATCTGGGCACTTCACTGTTGAAGTGTTCTCAGCACTACTTGGGCAGTGTTGGAGTGATCTGAAGATATGTTGCAGCTGTGCCCAGTGTGACAAAACATGGGAAATAAAAGTTGGGGTTTCAGATTCCTTAGTTAATACAGCAGGGATGGGATTATATGCAGAGTCTCCCTTGGGCTGCGAGACCCTGGGAGGTGCTGGAGGCCTCTCCACTGCTGGTGCTCATGTGCTGTTTTAATTTGTTTCCATTTTAGCCAATCTTACTGGTCTTGGTGCTCTTGCARATTTCTGAGAATGGGCTGTAAAGTATTGCCTGTGCACCACTCTCGCCTATGCTTGTGCTTTTTGTTACACTGTTGCATAGATCTATTGGTGAGAGTTTTTTGTATAGCATTTTGAAGGTTTTACTACCTAATGTTGCATGCAAGCCTTAGAGGGAAATGAGTGTAACACTGCCTCACAGTACTGTAACAGAGGCTTGACGATATATATATATATATATATAAAAATAATTTTTTTTTTACAATAAAACAACTCTTAATCTTCCTAGATGCCTTTTCCTATTTTTGTCCTCTTTTATTTCTGGAAAACTGTTCCCTGCATCTGTCTGTCCTGTCCATTAGAACTGATCTGTTTTAAAGAGTAGAATTTCTGTAGCTTCCGTACTAAGAGGCTGTTACCACAGTTCCCACTCTTCCAAAGTTCTCTCCCAGGTTTCCTCAGCAGGGCTAGAACGGTATGGGCAGGGACTTGTGCAATGAAGTAAGGAATCATCCTTGGACCTCTAAGCCTTCTTCATTTTTTTGCTATGATTTTATTTAAAGTTTAAAAAATTTTAGTGCTGTGATTTGAGTGTTATTTCCAGGTACAGATATCTTAAAAAAATGCCATCAAATATTGTGCATGATGACTCTTGGAGAAATTCTTGCTGGAAATTTGACAGATCAGAATGTAGTATTTGTGAGGAGGCATGTTTGTTGTCAGCTTTTCCATAGACCTTTAACTGTTGAATAGGTATATATAGTTCCCATCATTTACATTTAGATCCAAGATGGCATTCAGAAAGTACTGTGAAACTTTTATCCATTTAAAATCCTTAGAAGTTTGCATATGCTATTAAAAATAGAGTTTTGCAGATAGCTACTACCTTAAATACTGTAATAAGCCTACTTAATGTGCTGTTCTTCAATTTACACCTATTACATGCCTCATGAATTTCACTTAATTAGGATGCTAAGCATGCTTTCAGTGTTAGCTTTTAGTCAGTTCTCCTGTCATCCATTCAGCATTGTGTTTGGTCTGAGCACACATATTTTAGGTAGTCCCCCTTASAATTTTAAATTTAAAGCTTATTGGAAACATAACGGGCTTAGACATTGTAAGAGTGTATCAGGTAGGAGGGAGAAGAAGGTGTAAATCACACTATTACTTTTGAATATTTCTTTATTTTGTGTGTGGATTGTCTGTTGACCTCTGATATCCTTGCAAGTCACGTTTCTTGTGTGAGTTTTTGGAAGGATTTTATAGAAAAAGGAAAGGGAAGGAAGGGCATGAGGCTTGTTTGGAATTTTGTAAAAGAGAGCTGCCTACTATAGCAGAAATATTGAGCATATGCCGAAGGGGACTTTACTGTTGTTACAACATCTGGAGTGCACATTATTCAGCCACAGACAGTTCCAACAAAAATTAAAATCAAAGCGCTCCGTGTAGCTTGTCCTCTAGCACGCAGACGAGCTAAGTAAGGAGAGAGGAATGTTTGTAGTATGACTCTCATTATTTCTAAAAGCATTCAGCCCTAAGAGGGAGAACACCCAGTGAAAAAACTGGTGGGGTTTGTTTTGTGCATGTTTTATATT